GCAGGGTGACAGCTGGGGTGGCAGGTGGCAGGGTGACAGGTGGGGTGACAGGGTGACAGGTGGGGTGACAGATGGGGTGGCAGGGTGACAGGTGGGGTGGCAGGGTGACAGGTGGGGTGGCAGGGTGACAGATGGGATGGCAGGGTGACAGGTGGGGTGGCAGGTACCTTTTTCCCTGGTGGTCCAGTGGTGGCAGAGTCCCTGGTGGTCCAGTGGTGGCAGAGTCCCTGGTGGTCCAGTGGTGGCAGTCTCCCTGGTGGTCCAGTGGTCTCTCCGGTCTGCAGCTACGCCGGATGCAGAGCTGCAGACCACATGGGGAATGTCTCGCGATCTCCAGTCAGAGCGTTGCCGTGGTAACCCGCGGCAACGCTCTGATTGGCTGGAGAGCGCGAGACACCTCAGTCTGCAGCTCACACCCGGCGGAGCTGCACACTGAGGCCGGCTCTCTCCCCAGGCAGATTGACAGGAGGGGCCTCGCACCCGGCGGCATACCGGGCATGCCGCCGGGCCCCTTCCTGTGTGGGGTCCTCGAGGACCCGACATGTCAGTCTGCCCTATGGCGGTTTAGGCGGCCGCGAGGCCCCACACAGCGCGAGGCCTTAGGCGGCCGCCTAAACCACCTAATTAGAGAGCCGCCTCTGCCCAGACCACTCCCAATGGACAGAAGTGGTCTGGGTGCCTGTAGTGTCCCTTTAAGGTTTTGTATTGTATTCTCTTTGTACACGAAGGCAGAGACCACACTGCAATTCAGAGTTACATTTGAAGAGAAGGTCAAAGAATTAAAGCAAATACTTTGATACCACAAAAACACATTAAACATCCATCTATATAGCTGTAATCTGGAGTAAGCATTTATTCAAAGTCAAAACATGCAGGCAAAATAATTCTGAAAAGATAGTTTGAAAAAAAAAATCAACATCCTGTTCACTCTCTCTTTGCAGCAAATGCTTGGTGCAGAAAACTCACTAGACAATTAAGCTCAATAGATGTAGACAATATCTCACAACGATTCTTCACAGATGACATAGGATAAAACATTTTTTGTAGACTTTTTTGTAGACAAGTAGACTTTTCGGAGAAGTGCAGCTCTATCCTCTCTACTCTTGTGAAAGCATATGAAGACATGGTCCACTTGGAGTTGTTCCTCAGAAAATTCCAACAAAACAGCAAAACTATCTTTGCTCCCATCAGGTGTGCCAGGTGGAATTTCACTATAGAGGTTGTTTTTGTTTAACACAGCCCTCCAATTGACTTGTCAGCCTGGATTTAACATAAAGTACTATGGTCCTGTTGTTGGATGTAAGCTCCTCTGTTTTGCTCAGCCTATTATCAGAATAAAATTAATTAGCTGAAAGATTGTGATCCCTTTGATTATTCCCTAGCCCACTTGGGATCTTCAGGGGTGGGCGAGGAACATCAGGAACATTACCGAGGCCCGGCACCCTGGTTACTACAGCAATTGAAAGAAACTCTGGAACTTTCACTACTATTACCGGGAATACTCAGAGGCATGGCACTTCTTTTATTTCCTTCTTTCTCCCTGGCAAAGCAATGACTATTTAGTATTCACTGGAGGGATAATTTCACCATCCGGCCTCTCTGGTCTCGGAACCAGAAAAACCCCCCGCCTTCTGCGCGTCCAACAGACTCTTAAAAATCCATATTCTTTCTATTTAAAGGGAAACTATAGTGACTTTAGTGCCAGGTAAGCAAAGTTGTTTTCCTGGCACTATAGCTCCCTGTAGTGCCCCCCGCACTTGCAGACCATCTCCCCCCATGGTGCAGATGACTTTCCTGATGTCCCTTGGCGCTGGGTCCTAGGGGGGACCTAATGTGCATGCGCAGTGATTGCCATACTCTTATTAAGACTTCCTCCATAGGAAAGCATTCTATGGGGCTTTCCTATGGGGTTTTGAGTGACGCTGGATGTCTTCATGCATAGTGTAAAGACTTCCAGCATCAGTAAGGCAACCAAAAGTCACCTAATGACCTGGAAGTCCCTCTATTGGCTGTTTGGTAGACAGTCACTAAAGGTAGGGTTAACCCTGGCAGGTAATTCTTGCAGTTTATTAAAACCTGCAATAATTACCACTGCAGGGTTAAGGGACCTGGGACATTGCACCCAAACCACTTCAATTAGCTGAAGAGGTCTGGGTGCCTATAGTGTCCCTTTAAGCTGAAGTTGTTTTGTTTCTTAGAGTATCTCTTTAATATGCTGCCAGCTTGTACCTATTCCCTTACTTCATCCACAAAGGGTTATTGTCATACTAGCTACTAGAACAATCGATACTTTTGACATGAATCCGTGGAACAGGCTTCCATGTGGGCCACTTGGTCTTTCCTGCACATATTTTTCTTCTATTATTATTATTATTGCAATCTGTATAGCGCCAACAGATTCCGTAGAACTTTACAATATTATGAGAGGGTGGATTTAACTATAAATAGGACAATTACAAGAAAACTTACAGGAACAATAGGTTGAAGAGGACCCTGCTCAAACAAGCTTAAAGTCTATAGGAGGTGGGCTATAAAACACATTAGGACAAGAAATAGCAATCAAATTAGGTGGAGAGTAGAAGGCTGCCCTTTAGGAGAGAGCAAGAGACAGGTATGTGAGGTAGAGGTTATTCTGGGAGGCCATAAACTTTCCTAAAGAGATGGGTTTAAAGGCACCTCTTAAACGATTGAAGATTAGGGGAGAGTCTGAGAGTCTGTATGCAGGCTATTACATAGGAAGGGAACTGCCTGCGAGAAGTCCTGCAAGCATGAGTTTGCCGTATGGGTGTGAGCAGCTGACAGGAGAAGGTCACTTGCTCTGTGAAGAGATTTGAGGGGATAGAATTGTTCAGTGCTTTATAGGTATGGGTTAGCACTTTGAATTGGCTCCTGTAGGATACAGGTAGCCAATGTAAGGACTGACAGAGGGATGAGGTGTGAGAGGACCCACTAGAGAGGAAAATCAGTCTGGAGGCAGCATTCATTACAGTCTGTAGTAGCGGGCTATGTTTTTAAGATGGAATCTACAGGATTTGGCAACATACTGGATGTGAGGCTCAAAAGTGAGGCCAGAATCAAGTATGACACCAAGACCGCGCGCTTGCAAGGATGGACTTATGTGGATACCTGGGAAAAGAGGAGTATTAGGAGCAGGAAAGACCAGGAGCTCAGTTTTAGAGAGATTGAGTTTCAGAAAGCGGGAAGTGGAAGAAAGGCAAGCAGTTATATGTTACAGGACGGCAGGGAAGAGGTCTGGGGAGGAGAGATATATCTGGGTGTCATCAGCATAAAGGTGGTAGTGGAATCCAAATGAGGTAATACGTTTGCCAAGAGAGGCAGTATAAAGAGAAAAAAAAAAGGGACCAAGGAGAGAGCCTTGATGGACTCCAACCGAGACAGGAAAAGGGAAGGAGGCAGCATTATAAAAGGAGACACTGAATGAGCGTTGGGAGAGATAAGAGGAAAACCACGAGAGGACACAGTGACCGAGTGATTGAAGAGTTTGAAGAAGGAGAGCATGATCAACAGTGTCAAAGGCAGCAGAGAGGTCAAAATAATTAGTGTGGAGTAGTGGCCTTTGGATTTAGCTGCAATTAGGTTATTAGTAACTTTGAGCAGTCTCAGTAGAGTGGAGAAGGTGGAAGCCAGATTGAAGAGGGTCAAGGAGAGAGTTAGAATTGAGGAAGTGAGACATACGGGTAAAGACAAGTCTTTCCAGAAGCTTTGAGGAAAAAGGAATTCTATGAGAGGTTGTTATGACAGAGCTCCTGTAATCCGACCGAGTACCTCTGCCCAGTCCGCTTCCTAGCCACTTGCAGGGACCCTGGAACACTACAGCACCAAGCTTGACTTGGGGTCCTTCTGGAGGGATATGGGACGATAGTTAGATGGGTCAAGAGATGTTTTTTTTCAAAATAGGTACTACAGTGGCATGTTTAAGGTCAGCATGGACAACGCCAGAAGAGAGAGCAGTTGAAGATATGTGTTAAGGAAGGCACAAGACAAGGGGAGAGAGATCTGATAAGGTGAGATGGGACAGCATCAAGCGGGCAAGTGGTGGGGCGAGAGGAAAGGAGAAGCGCAGCCACATCTTGTTCAGTAGCTGGGGAGAAAGTCTGAAGGGTAGGAAAGGCATGATCTACGTGTGGTTGAGAAAGAGAACGGCAAGGTGGGGAGAATTCTTTCCTTTACTGTTCAATCTTGTCGGTAAAGTAGCATGCAAAGCTATCGGCTGTAAGGTCGAGGGTATTGCCAGCTACATGGGTGGGAGAATTAGCCTACTATGTATGTGTGTTTGTTTATATGTGATACCCATTTGCTTTTTTTGCGGTGCTAGAAATTACCAATAAAAGGATCATTGCAAACTTTAAGATCAAAATAGCTGAGCTGGAAAAATTACTTTACAATTCCCTTTAAAATGCTCTGCCATTCACATTGAAGAAAATAACAATCTTGAGCTTCATCTAGGAACTAAGAAGTTATTTAACAAATAACATGAGTTATCCCTGTAGCTGCTATTTAATTCTCTGTTTAATAGATACTTATTCACTAAACTATGGTTTGTAGAAAAATTCAAATTTAAAGAGAATATCAAAAATAGATGGAGATGGAAAAAATGTCTAGATTAGTTATTGTCACATTTTTGCTTTATTTTGGAATTTGTATTTTAATTAGCGCTTTCGGAAATTTAGTGAATAAACGTCTGAAAATGTTTCTTCCTTATAAAATACTACAGGGCTTATTCACTTAACATCAAATTGCATTAAATGGAAAATAAATTAAAAAGAGCTGAAGCGCTTTATGGGTCTCGAATGTTTGTTTACTTAAATGTCAAAGCTCTATTTCAAAAATACTTTATTCTTGACTGTTTTAAAAGATACAAACAGCTTACAGTCCAAGTGCTGCTGGACAGGTACACATTGAAAGAGTGACTTCTTTATTATCACAAAGCTTCCCCTGTATATTCTCTGTAATATGCTGGTATGCATGTTCTTCTACAAGCTGTTACCTGACATATTAACTATTGTGTCATTGAATATTTTGTTTTTCAAAAAGAATATCCAGATCTT